TAAGCCCGAAACAGTTCTGTATCAAGTTACCCCCAGATGCTGTCATAACCCCCTTACTGCTACATATATATATGTAGACAGAATAACATAAAAGACACAGACATGGAAGACTGGAATAGCAATTTCTGGTTTATTAGCCGTCATCAGCCAGCCATACCCAACCCAAAGTGTAATGGGCTCCGAGGCTTGAACCCACGACCTGTTAGTTAGAAGTGCAACACTCTAACCACGGTGCCAGGGTTCGTTGCCTTACCGGATTTCAGGCTCGCTCTGCCTTCATTCAGCCAATCGTAACCCTGACAATCACCTAGGACCGCAAACTCAAGTAGCTTGGGAGGCGCTGATGAACATCGGTTTGATGAAGTGCTTATCACCTATCAGCTAAACCCAGTGTGTAGAGTACCTGCCTCGTACTTGAGCACATTTTTTCCCAGTCTCAGCTGGTAGGTAGGGTTATAATTAGCCGAATGGAGGCAGAATAAGCACAAAAAAGACTGTGGCGACGTACCTATATTTTATGTCGTCCCTCCTCTGTGTGATTACATTTGGCCGAATTCGGTCTGGTAGTTGGTGGCCTATTCGTGACCTTAGATACCAATACAGAACTTGTTTTCCTCGGGAGCAAACAGATCGGACTGCACCCATTCTCAATTGAATATATGTATATATTGCTAGACTGCCGAATCTAGCTGCTAGTGCTGCATTTAGTGCCTGCAAAAAAACGATCCACTCGTACTATAGAGGAAGATACTGCGCAAAAGCGTACGCACGTGTCCCACCGTTTTTCTGTCTCTGTATGACACAGATACGAGGAAATGTCTCATTAATCCGTCAGTATCTTATCTAGATTGCTTCTGATATGATTTTAGGCGATTATTTACCGAACATGTAATAGGGCCCTCACGACACGAATTTTCAGGGTCAGAGATCGATGAGAAACTTGCAAGGAATCAAATTATTAGCCGTTCATGTGTCCAGGCCAAAGAATTAATAAGAAAATGTGGTCTTCACTTTCTTCTCCCTGTTCTTTTATTCCCTAGTTCGTGTGTAACTCGACTTGTCCGCCAGACCAACCCTACACCATGCCCAACACCAACCTCTGCTTGGACAAAACGAAGTATGAGCTAATTTCTGGTGCGGCCGCCACAAGGACACGTAACAGGATGCTTCTGGGGAGCAGTCTGGGGCTGTTTGGGATCTTCCTTCTGGCCCTCCTCATCGTCATCCCCTGCTTCCATTATAAGGCCAAACGCCGCAAGATCCGAGAAGCCCTGAAGTCCGTCTACACCAATAAGGCAGCACCTGATATGAAGGTAACCCATACATATGTGATCTGTAAATCAAAAAGTACAGTTTATTGTGTTACTGAATCAAATTCAGTAGAACTTTG